TGATTACCATGGAAATGTCTCTTGTATTTTTTTTGTACATAGTTTACTGTTGATTGTTGTAAATAAGTTTTTCTTGTATATAAAGTAAACAAGTTTCTGAGCTTCCAGGAAAGATTTTCTGTTACTGATTTCATTGTGTGAGGGGCCTGCAATGCCCGTCTGGTGGGAACCAGCTAATAAAAATCTGTGCTGTGATAAAATGGTTTTATCCTGCGTTGCATCAGCAGTTCAGAGCTATTCCTTAGAGAGGAGTTAAATGATAAATGTGATTGTTGTAGATTAGTTTTGCAGCATTTCTTTGCATTGGTTTAATTGGCATGGAGTAGAAGATATCATGTAACTTATTAGCTATATCTCTGCAGTGAACAAAAGATGTTTTTAAAATGGTGGTTCTACTGCTGCTCATCCTGATCATAGCTCCACTGTCTGCAAACCCACAGCAAGGTGGGAAGACACTCTCAGAAGGCTCAGCAAGGTATTTGTTAGTTACCTCTATGTGTTTGTAGACCTCTCATCAGGTGGTGTGGTGTGACCACATCTTCTGGTCATGGTGGTGCAGTGCCCTGATGAGAGGGGAACAGTTGTTTCTCTACTCTGCTTGGACCTCTGTGCATTCAGTTCATTGCAGGCAATATATACAGTAACTAGAGTGAGTGAAAGTATGTTTAAAAAAATGTAGGAGAAATTAATTTTCTCATGAAATGTAGACATTGATTGCCATAAAATGACACCTGTAAACTTGAAACTAAAAGATCAGGAGATGTTTAGGTGAGCAGTCCATGGATTGGATTGTGATGAGCTTTCTCTGCCATCTACAGATTTATGTGTTCGTAAGATGCTGACAGGGAACTTTCAGCAGATTAATTTAAACTGAGCCTTTAGAAGAAATGTGGGAGAAATTAATTTTCTTGTGAAATATATAAAATTACTGCCATAAAATGACACCTGTAAACTTGAAATTAAAATATTTGGAGATGTTAGGTGAGCAGTCCATGGATCGGATTGTAATGAGCTTTCTCTGCCATCTGTACAGATTTATGTGTTCATAAGATGCTGATGGAACTTTCAGCACATTAATTTAAACTGAGAGGATGGTTGTAGAGTTCCATAGTACTGTTGCAAAGTAAATGGAAAGTAACTTTAAATGGTCATGAATATTTTCCATGTGAAAAAGACCTTTGTACTTGATACTTAAACTGGAGGAATTCCTTTGTGTGGAGGGAATAGTTTATGTGATAGGAGCATAAAAAACAGTAGCAATGTTATATACTGTTGCAAGATGCAAATGGTAAAATTGATCATTAAAGTGTTAGTTACCTAGTCCTAGTAATAAGGAGAAAAGAAAAATTACTGCATTTGCTCATACACACCCTGGACCTGCACGTCAGGCTCTGCATTAAGTAGCGCTACAGCATGCAAAGAAAGCAGCAGCAGATACAGAAGATATGCTTACTCCTCTGATACAGGTAATTAATTTCGGTCTTTTTTTTTTTTTTTTTTTTTTTATTACTGGGGTATCAGACCTCCTGCTCAGGGCTGCCATTCTCATGGTTTGATTGGTAACTACTTCATGTATCTTGGGAGGGTGGAGTGGGTTGGGAGGGAGGTGTGCTGTAAAGATCTTGAAGTACCCATGAGTTTGGTTTTTTTAAGTGTACTCTGCTGCTGGTTCCCTTGTCCCAGGTATTGTTGGGTTGCAGGTTTTTACATGTTTGGTGTTTTTGATACAGTGTAAATCATCAGGAGAGTTGAGGAGATCTGCTCCCACTGAATGGGCAGCACTGCAGACAAACAGGTTTAGAAGAAGCCTTGTCATTCCTTACCTGTAAAGCAGCTTCAGAGTCATAAGGTAAATTACATGTTTGCCTGCTGTGTGCCTGGTTGGGATGAGTAACTGTGCAGCCACCAGCTTGGCCTTGAGCAGCGTGAGATGTTTAGTTCTCATGTGGGCAGAATGAAAAGGTTCTGGGACCACAGAAAGTGACTTTTCATGTTAATAACAGCTAAAAGATACATGACAGTTCACTAGCAACTTCTGTCTGAAGTGTTCCAGCATTTTGCTGGCTTACCAAATGACCTGGAAGGTAGCAAGTCTTTGTCTTCACAAGAAAGGAGGAGATGGGGGAGTTTGCATGTGACCTAAACGACACACCACTTCTGTTGACTTCAGGATAAAATACGAGTCAATTGTGGCCTATGGCTTTTCCTCCGGGGAGCAGGGAAGGGAGTGCCTTCAGGCCTCCTGTCCTTAGAAGCAGCTTGGCTGATGGGGCGTTGGGGCAAGTGGTATGTCTCCCCTTTGCTAAAGGCTGTGCACAGCTAAAGCCTCAGGTGGGTGCGAGCAGGTACCAGCCAGGGAAGTAACAGGCTAGGAGGGACTGTCATGGGAGCAGCTTGCTCTCTCTGCACAGGTTGTCAAATTCCTCTTGCTCCCAGGATGCAAACTGGATTCACAGCAGTGTTTCCCAGCAGCCTGCTGAGGATGTGCTCTGAGCTGCCTCCCCACACACAGGCTCTCCACTGAGAGGCGTTTCTGCTTTCCTGTCAGCATGTTCCTGTGCTCATGTGTGAGCTGTGCAAAACCTTGGCTTCCAAGGTCCTTTTCTTTTAAGAAGAGCAGCCCAAGGAGACTAATATTTCAGCTTGGTTTCCTAGGGAAGCAAGAGCAGTCTGATTTGTCTGGTGCTGTGTGTATCAGCCTGTCTTTCCCTTTTTAATGCCTGTTTGGAGCTTACTGTCTTATTTCAGATGGTTCACGGGGAGAGATGGCTCATAGAATGTTACATTTCTACAAGTCTTGCAAGAAATCAGTATCCAGGATGAGAGGGAGACCTTGATAGTGCTCTTTTGCAGGGAGAGGCTCCAGTGTGCATACAGGAAGTAGGCTTAGTGCATTAATTGCTCAGTAAATTATTCAGATTTGGGCTTGTTATAAATTAAAAGCTGTTACAGTGAAGTAGAAAGAACTGATGGATGCAACACAAGATTGATTGCTGAAGAGCTGTGATTCTGAGGCCTTGTAGCTTTGCCGCCTCAGTTCCCCCCTCTATCAAAATTTACATCTGTCTATAAGTTATTGAATTTATGGAAAATTACATTTTAAATTACAATTTCAATCTGGAAAAATTTGAGAGGAGTGATTCAGCACTCCTGGCTAAGAAGCTAAAGGCTGAGAACACATTTGAGAGTTTTCCAGAAGGTTTCCTGTAGAAGAGTGAAAACCAAAACATTTGGCCTGTTTATACACAGAGCAACCAAGAAGAACAAAGTGTTTAGTCTGGTGTGCTCCTTCCCTTCAGGTTGTAGGGGGGGATATCTTTAAGCTGTGAAATTTGAAAATTCTATGATCCTTTTTTACTTCAGGGAGGCTATTTCCTTTGATTATTAATGCCTGTTCGTAACACTCCATGAGTCAGAACTCTCCACAGTCCTAATTAAAATGATGTGGAGCCTCCATTGTCTTGCCAGTCTCTCGTGAAGTTTGTTTTCTTCCCTTTACCCTCCTCAGAAAAACATCTATTCTTTTAATGAACATGAACTAGAAAGTAGGAGCCCAACACTGTAATCATTTAGATTGAAATGGTTCCCTGGCATGCAAAGCTGGGCAGATCTTGAAGTATCTTGGAGCACCTTTTCTTGAATCCCCCATGCCTGGACTCATATGATTACCTGAGAGCCCAAGTGCTGGCTGTTAAAATACATATTTCTGCACTGCAGTAGCAAGAGTAATGGGAAAGCAGAAATATAAAGCCCCCAAAACACGAGGGCTGATGAAAAACTAAATTCATTCTGTCTTAGTATCAGTACAGGTTTTTTAAAAAAAAAAAAAATCGTAGGAGGCTGACACATTGGTTTAGATATTTTAGGTTGGCAATTGATGTATGTGTCCTGAATTTCCAACCTATACCAATTCTTAGCAACAAAAATGTATTCAAAAGCGTGTAACCTATGTGGTAGCAAAGCACTATTTCTAGATAGCCAGGTCAGCTACAAATACTATATGAGTAATACATGGAATATATGGTAAGTACACTTGTTTCTTTAGATTTCCTATTTTACATTTCCTGTCTTCAGGTGTGTTTCATAAACTTTATTTTCAGCAAAAGTCTGTTATTATTAATCTCAGATGACATTTTCTTACTGAATAGCTGAATTGAGGATGAAGAATATGTCAGTAGAGCTTCACAGTGCACACATCTCCCCCAGCTGTAATTTTGGATGCCGCAATCTTTTTTTTTTTTTTTTTTTTTTTTTTTTTTTTTTTTTTTTTTTTTTTTTTTTTTTTTTTTTTTTTTTTTTTTTTTTAGCACAGGTCCAAAATGGATGAACTTTGAAACAGAAACCTTTGTGTATTTAGAGAGAGCTTGTTTTCAAGAAAGGCCATGGCCAAGTTTGTGAGAGAAAAAAAAAAAGTTTTATAAGCAGTCAGAGCCCTCCTAAACCGTGTCACTGGGCGTGAGCTGAGATCTCAGAGGCCCACCTTTTCCCAACACCCAGTGGCGCTTTCTCCAGTGAAGAGCCCCTAAAGACTACATGGTTGCTCAGGTAGTTTGCATGACGATGTCACGCACTGTACAGCTCACAGAGGTGCTGCTGCACAAACCCCTTTCAGAGGAGGGGAACCAATGCAAGAGAACTTCTGAAAAGGATTGTGTTTTTTCTCTAAAATGTTCAATATTCAAAGTTTAATAGAAGATTTTGTGCTGATGAGAGCTAATGCAGTACACCAAAAGATGCAGCATGCTGGTACAAGCTTCTTGCTCTGCCTTCTCACTGCAGGGCACTGCCTGCTCATGGCTGTACGGGGGGTTACTTGCCTTGGCTGTTTTGTGGTGGAACCTTTGATGAGAAGGTAAAGTGGGCAGACTCCTAAAAATAGAAATATGTGTTCCTTTTGGGTGATTGCGTACTGTGAGAAGGTGGTAGGATCTCTCAAGAGACCTCAGCACTGTGTGGTTACACTTACAAACTAAATATAAACATTTCTACTTGCCAAAGAGTCAAAAGAAAAACAGATTTGAAAATGGCAGAGTGCATGCCTCAGTGCTGTTTCACTTTTCTCCTGCATGCAGGTATGTTGTCAAGCTCTGCCTGAGCACTGTTTGTTTAATGACTAAAAGCACTTCATGTCACTCCAAAGAGTAAATAGCTGAAGTTATGGATTAACTAAGTTCCAGCCGAGCTCATGGTGGAAGAATAGATCACGCTGATTCACACTGAATAAAGCCGTAAGTGCTTCAAAAGTATTGTATCCTCTGGGATTTCAAAGTACAGCTAGCTTTAATGAAGCGTAAAGCTTGTCAAAAATGTCCGGTGACAAGGGGAGGATGTCAGGGCAGACAAGAAGTATTCTGGGGGAGCTGCTGATGGTTTAAAGGGAACTAGCAAGCCAGTCTGGAGGGCCTCTAATGAACGGCTGCTTTGGAGCTGGAATCAGAGAAAGTCACGGCACAACACAGCATTCAGCAAGGGAGCTGCTCTGAGAAAAAGAAGTGAAGGAGCTAGCTGAGCTGTCTGAATAGAAACTGTCTGCAGCATTCGGGTTGTGCTGCAGCTCAGCAGTGCGCTCCCCTCCCTTTACCTTCTCTTCTTAGGTGACTCCTGCTGCAGTATGTGGAAGCTCGTCACCATAGGGGTGTTGCTGGCTGCCTGCTCTTCACAAGTCTGTAGTACCTCAAGTAAGTTTTCGTTTTAGAGACACCCTTCACCCTCTTCCAGTTGCTGCAAGTGCATTTCCTGCTCCTCTGTCTGTCACAGGAGTAGCTGGAATCATTCCTGTTAACAGGGTTTGAATTCCTCTAGCAGAGGTTCACAGACACAATGCTGGGCTGTGATGGCTGCCTGGTCCCAGCCCTCATGACCCCCACAAACTGTCTGAGTATCACAGAGCAGAGGCTGGAGCTTGCTTCTGCAGCACGGCACTGACAGCCCATGGTTTCTAAGGGCAGGCTCTCTTGCTGTCCTGGAGAAGGGCTAATGCTCTGATAAGTGTCCTTTGGGAAGGAGCGCTACCAGTTTTCAGCCAGCTCTTTTCCCAGCTTGTGCTTTCACTTTTTTTTTCTAGTATTTTACAGCACTAAAGATGCAAACCAAGTCCTGAAAATCCAGAAGCGGGCAAACTCTTTTCTGGAGGAGGTCAAACCAGGCTCTGTGGAACGTGAGTGCATTGAAGAGCAGTGTGACTTTGAGGAGGCCAGTGAGATATTTGAAACAAAGGAAGCAACAGTAAGTTGTTTTTTTAAGGATGAACGTGGGACTTAACCAGTCAGTGGTTTGTTTTCATAAAATATTGCAATCCAGGGCATAGGAGATCTTGCTGTTGGCACTGAACGTGCATCATTCCTGATTCCTAAGGTGTAGGCATGTTTTTTAACGTAATTGTGTTACAGTGATGGCCAAGTTAGCACCTGTATGGGCCACAAAACTTGGGTGCTCATGCATGTCCCACCTGACCTCATTGTGAGGTTTAGGTCCTAGCCAGATAATCTCAATCCCTGCTTGACCCCGTCGGCTATTCTTGCTGTCAGCTGAGTTTTTCGCAGTCTTTCCAGTCCTTTGCCCTCTGTTACCCATTTGCCAGCGCTGGCTGCCTTTCACTGTCTCCCCAGTCTCCCACCTGTGCCTGACAAACATTTCTGTTATCACTAGGTCCTCTCTCCTCCAAAACTCTTATTTTCAGTTGGACACTACCTTTATTGTCAACATCATTGATTTCTGCCCCTTTCCACACCCAGTGGTTGCATTGGCTTGGGCTTTTTCTTAATTGCTTTAAGCAGAGTAGGCTTGCCACATAGGATAAACCAGTCCTTGCTGTTCCTTGCACCCCAGAGTGGAGTGGGATCTGTCTTCATGAATTGTGCGCTCAACAACACAGCTGACTTACCTGGCAGTAGGTGACAAGAGAAGCTGTGGGGGTGTTGAGGGGTTGTGGTGCTGGTGGGCCTGCAGTCAGGGCAGGGGGATCTGTGCAGAGTATGGGCAATATACAAGTGTCTGGGTTGGCCAGTTTTGTTGTAGTGCCAGTCAGTACACTGTCAAGAAGAATGAGACGAATGCTGTTGACTGGCGTGCTGTGCTCTGTTGGCCAAGACCATGATGCACTTTAAATCCCTCGCTTGTTAAAAATCTGCTTCTAGCCTTAATGTAAGTTTTGTTTCTTCACAGCGAAACTTTTGGAACAAGTATGTAGGTAAGTAAAAAACTTTCCTAATCACTTCTCTCTGTTTCCTCAAGAGTAACTAGTACTCCAGCCTTCCTTCTGCCATGTATCACATACTGATTCAAATTCTCATTCTCTCTTATATGGGGTGTGCAAAGAATGTTTTCCTTCCTAAAAAACTTGAAGTGCATCTGTGCCTGTCGTCAGTCATCTCCCCAGAGCTAAGGCACTGATAAAAAGTGCTCTAACCCTGCTTGATGTGATCTGAAGAGGAGTCCCACCACTGCTCTTTGCTTCCGTAGTAACCTGCCTCTCCCTGTCTGCCTCCAGTTTTACACTTTCTTCCCCTTCTGCCCACTCCACTCACTCTGCAGCTGTAATTCTTTGTCTCTGGGTAGCACCACAGAGGTATCACCACTTGATGGCAGAAAACGTGGGTGAGGCTTCGGAATTTGGGGAGGGTCTGTTCATGTTAATGCTTGATCTGTGAGCTCTGTATGATTTAGGGACTGAGTTTTCCTGCCTCTGTTTCAGATGGAGATCAGTGTGACCCACAGCCTTGTTCCAATGGGGCCTGCAAGGATAGTATTGGAAAATTTTCCTGCATCTGTAACAAAGGCTGGGAGGGTGTTCTGTGCAATTATGGTAATGCTGCCTTTAATCCACTGTAATAGAACATTCTTTGTTGACAGGGATCTTTGTGCATCAGGGACTGACGATTTTGTCATTGCACAGTATACTCGCTTTCTTTACTAATGTGATTTCTCTTTTGCTTCATGATGTGGTAAAAGGATTATCTGTGCTTATCTAAAGCAAAATGAACTTTGTGTTGCCATGGGAGAGGTTCGGAGATCTAAGATATCTACATTTTACAAAAATGCTGGAAATAATTCTGTAAAACAGGGTTTTCAGTTACTTTAGAATTGTCAGCACAGGGATGATGGTGGGGTTTTTTACAATACAGGGGAAAAAACAATCCACTGAAAATATTTGATTGTCATTATTGTGACAATTTCTTCCTTGGACAAATGCTGGGTAGCATATTTAGGGATGAACGTGTATGTCATGTATCATCAACAATTTGCACTGTCTGACTTGCAGTCAGTGACAATGGATTTTCTGTTCTCCAGTCTACCTGCCCTGACAGCAATCTCTGTTTTCTCCATCTCCCCACTGCCTTATTCTGGACCAAGGTCTGTTTGCTGTCCCTGGGCCTGAGTGCCATTAAAGCCCACAGCTGTCACCCCAAATCTATTGTCAGCTGTTGCTCACTTGAATCATGATGTCATTTTGCTGCTTTACCTTCCTGGGACTTTTTGACTTTCCGATTTCTCATGTCTTTCTTGCTGTTCATTTCTTCCGTAGAAGTCAAATACACCAACTGTTCTGTCAATAATGGAGGATGTGAACATTTCTGTAGGGATGACCCTGCCAACCAGGGCCGCTCTTGCAGCTGTGCGTCTGGGTATCAGTTGATGAACGACCATCTCATGTGCAAGCCTGTAGGTAAGAGGAGAATGTTTGTAGTCCAGACTTGACAGAGGGTTATTAAAACATGATGTAAGAGGGGTTTATGGGAGAATTGTCTGTGGCGCACTTTGTACTAGTTATCAAAAGATCCATTCCGTGCAGAGTAACTCTGTGCCTGCATTTCCCAACTCTATACCCACTTTATGGCCTGTGTCTGCCTCATGGAGACATACAGGGCAATCAGGAAACTGCCTCCTCTGCAAAGCATTGAGGGGCTTCCATGAAGCCAATGAATAGTATTGCCTAGGTTAAAGAGATGGAGGGAATGCTTTAGAAAGAGATTTTGTATTGGGTGATCTGGTATTTGCTAGTTAACTTCTCTGCATCTCCTGTAGTGGAGTTCCCCTGTGGAAGAGTGAAAATGGACGACATTGAAGCCAAAGCAGGATTCAGTATTCGGCTCATTGAGGGAAGAGCAGGAAGAAGGGGAGACAGCCCTTGGCAGGTAATGAGAAAACAGTTTTTCACCACAAACAGTTCAGGCTCTTCCCGAACAGCTCTGCATGCCTACCTCCTCCAGAAAGGCTCCTACATTACTAGTGGCGGTGTCACATGAAGCTAAGATTCCCTTAGCTTAGCTTTTTCAAAAGTAACCAAAAGTTGGAGTTACAGGAAAAAATAGTTTATTATCAGTTTAGAACTCTTCACCTTGCCACTGTTGCTAAGTTTACCTTGTTGCCCCCTTGCCTTGCCGACCTTGCTGCCTTACATTACCAAGTTACCACCTTACCTTGCCAACAATGTCAAGAGAGAGGATAGTGATGACGCTTACCTACTCTGTTGCTCCATTCTGGGGAAGGCCATTTAATCACTGCAGCTTGTGCTGTGTGATGCATGCTCCAGCTACTGTGAAAGCCTTATGGTGGGAGTGTGAGGTAATCTTTCTCCGTGGATCTGTTCTTAGAAGCTTCATCTGTCATAAGTTCGTGTTGGCAGATTTAATCAGCAAAATACGCCATAGCTTTACAGAGTAGGTTGTGACATGACAGAGAAAGGGGAGACCGCACAGAGCTTATTGTGGAACTAGTGAATGCATGTAATCGGGGCCTGATTCTCTTTGACATTAGAAGCCCTTTTAAACCATAGTATGAGAGTTGCAGCCTGAGATGATGCACTGTCTCTGGTGTGCTGTGGACACAAGAATAATCCCCTCATTTGAGCTCTGTGTTTCAAAGCTTTGAAGTACCACAGTGCTTCTTTGCAGTGACCAGCATTGTCCCATGCTGATTTGGATGAAGCCAGCCTTCATTCAGGAAGAATATTCAAAACTTTTCTGAAGGTGTTCCACAGAGACCGTATTCATAATGCTTTTGTCCCACTATGGAGCTTTGGCTTCCGTGAGTGTGATGTGCTTTGGTGTTTGATGCGTCTGGGTATTTTGCAGCCGCAAAGAAGAATGTGTACAATATTTTGTCAGCCGTGCTCCATGCAATGTCAGACCTCTCTTTTTTTGTTTCAGGTAATGCTGCAAAATAGCAAAGGGAAATTTCTGTGTGGGGGTGTTCTCATCCATCCATCTTGGGTCCTAACGGCAGCACACTGCACTGAGGCGGAAGAGGGGCTCAAAGTAAGACTTGGTATGGAAAAGAAGTCTGTCCCTGTTTTTTTAAATATAACTGGTTCATTCCCAAGTTTTATCATCTCAGGAGAAAGACTAGCAGGTTATGAAGACAAAAGTCTTTCGTGGTTGTAGGATTAGGTTGTCTAAGAAGTATTCAATATTAATAAGAAGGCCAACCGTACTCTGGGCTGCATCAGGAGAAGCATGGCCAGCAGGTCGAGGGAGGTGATTCTGCCCCTCTACTCTGCTCTGGTGAGGCTGCACCTGGAGTACTGCGTCCAGCTCTGGAGCCCTCAACACAAGAAGGACATGGAAGTGTTGGAGCGGGTCTAGAGGAGGGCCACAAAAATGATCCGGGGGCTGGAGCACCTCTCCTATGAGGACAGGCTGAGGGAGTTGGGCTTGTTCAGCCTGGAGAAGAGAAGGCTGCGGGGAGACCTGGTTGCGGCCTTTCCGTACCTAAAGGGGGCCTATAGGAAAGATGGGGAAAATCTTTTTAGTAGGGCCAGCTGTGACAAGACAAGGGGTAATGGTTTTAAACTAAACCAGGGTAGGTTTAGACTAGATAAAAGGAAGAAGTTCTTTACAATGAGGGTGGTGAAACACTGGAACAGGTTGCCCAGAGAGGTAGTGGAGGCCCCATCCCTGGAAACATTCAAGGCCAGGTTGGACGGGGCTCTGAGCAACCTGATCTAGTTAGCGGTGTCCCTGCTCCTGCAGGGGGGTTGGACTAGATGACCTCTAGGGGTCCCTTCCAACCCAAAACATTCTATGATTCTATGATTCAATATGCACCTTAGCACAAAACAAAAAAGTTTAGTAAAAATTTTATTTCATTCGAGCCACTATCAACCTTACTATGGAAGTGAGCTGATGTCTTCTGAGCATTGCTGCTTGTCTGTAAAGTAGAAAGACTTGGTCTCTTCCACTTGGGTTTTTCTGGTGGTGAAAATATTCAGGGTCATCCCAATACTGACAAAAAAAGTCTTCATCCCAGGAGGAGTATGTCACAGTGCCTCTTCCTGCCTTTTCATACATTTGAACACCATTACTTAAGAGAGTTTCAGTAGAGAAGAAGGAGAGGTGCTGCAGAATAGCAACACTGCCTTTACTAGCACTGCTGCTCTTAAGCATGAGAAAAGCTATGTCAAGTGTAGTACTGCTCCTGAATTAACAGACAAAAATAATTAGTGTTCCATTCACACTTAAATAGAATTTTTTTTTATTAGTGTTTTCTATCTACCGTTGGTGATGTGCATAACAGCTCAACTGCTTGCTTTCTCCATTAGTGAAAAGATAGGTTGTTCCCAGTAATTGTGGAAGGTCTTACAAATATATTGTCTGTTTACATAGCCTTGGAAATACATTGTCTGTATGCATGTTCCATATATGCTGTGGATGTGCAGGTGGTTGAGAACGGAGACAATAAGGCATATATGGATGGATGTGTTCATGTACATCCTCCATTGTTCAACATAAAGTATGAATGGAAAAGCAGGCGATACAGCCTTGGGTCATCTTGATGTCAGCATATCCACCTTTTCCCCAGAGAGACATCAAAGTAGAAGTGCGTGTGGTAGTTCGGAAATATGCATACAGACTACACATGTCCAAGCACTTCCAGTTACTAGCAAGTAATTTTCTTCCCTTTTAAGTGATTGCAAATATGTATATTTAGTTTTAGTGAGGCCCAAGAGGAAGAAACCTGTGCAGTTTGCTTGGTAAAGGATCTTGGAATGCTTTAGGGGAAAAGCAACCATCAGATGTGGTGTTTGAACGCTCTGCAGTGCTAGATGTAGCTTTGAGTGTAACTTGAATGG